TGAAACTGGTACCACGGTGAAGCTACTTTGTTGGTGAAACAATGATTGGCCATGAAATTAAAAAATATATACATTTATATTATATTATAGTTCAAGTCCAGCATTACACCTACACCCAGTGGTGCATTGCAGTTCGATTCATTTCCACCCCAGTGTTTTGTAACCAGGGTGCCACAACCCCCTGAAAGTCCATAAGGTTTCCCCGTGGTGCTGCGAGCATGAGGTAATGAGCAGACTCTGACGTGATGGGGAAACTCTCATGTATAGGGTGCATTCTGACTGTGTGATGAGGGGATGCAGTGGCGGGAAAAGGTCATCTAGAGCCCAGGGCGAACATGCCAAATGTTGCCCCCCCCCAAGATGTTTCAGCATTATGTGTCATCAAAAATTCCCTCCCCAAAAAAATCAAACAATAATTTGCATGCTTATACCAAAGCATAAATCTCCCCTCCTCCCAGTTCAAATCCACCCCCCCCCCACTGAAATCCCCCCTCCCAGCACAAATATTTGCACCCCCCACCCTCCCCAGACAATTTCCTCTCTTTCCCCGTATGCCCCCAGCATCAATCCCCACTCAAAAAAATTTCCCTTCCGAGCACAAATCCTCTCCCTCCAAATTACTCCTCCAAGCACAAATCCTCTCCCTCCTACTATAAATCCCTCCTCCCAACACAAATTTCCTTGCCCCAATCCTCCATTCTAGCACAAACCCCCTAAATCCCCCCTCTCAGCCCAAATTCTTGTCCCCCATCCCCCTCACAACACAAATTTCTCCATATCACCACTAATAGCACACCTCCCCAAATTTCCCCTCCTAGAACAATTCTTACCCCCTGCCACCTCCCAAGTTCCCCCTCCCAACACAAATATCCTCCCCCAATCTCCTCATGGTGCCTCCCCCACCTAACATGATACCACAGTGCCCAGGGCAGCTGCCTCTTTTGCCCACCCTTTGTCTGGTCCCTGTTCTGATGCTTAGGGGGGACCTCTGATGTAATGGGGGCCTCTGATGTGAAGGGAGCCTCTAATGTGAAGGGGGCCTCTGATATGAAGGGCATCTCTGATGTGAAGGGGGCCTCTGATGTGAAGGGAGCCTCTAATGTGAAGGGGGTCTCTGATATGAAGGGCACCTCTGATGGAAGGGGGCCTCTGATGTGAAGGGGGCCTCTGATGAGATGGGGGCCTCTGATGGGGGCCTCTGATGCAATGGGGGCCTCTGATGCCTCTGATGTGATGGGGGCCTCTGATGCGATAGAGAACCTCTGATGTTATGGGGGGTCCTCTGATGGGAAGGGGAACTACTTATGTGAGGTTAATTTGTATCCAGGTGGTTGTGTTCATTGTCCCAGGTTCAGGCTTTCTACTTATAAATACCATTTACATTTTTAGACAGGAGTGCCTTGGTATTTTACATATTTTTAAAGGGTGCTGATACTGAAAAGAAGTTGACGAAATTTGCACTAAACCAATGCAATTTCAAAGGTAATCTACTGTTATGAGTTGTAGTGTGGTGTGTTGGGAAAATCTTGTCAGGTCCAATTTTAGGTCTGCAGTGGTGCACCACATCAAGCCGCAAATGTGTGGAGGTGCACAATGTATCACATAGTGTTGGCTTTAAACAGGACTCTAACACATGTTACCTAGTTTAGGATAGATGGGAAAGGTTAGAAACCTTTTCTCAGGTTTTGGAGATTTCTCATTCTTTTCACATTACCCTATAGGGATATAATGAAAATTTGACAGAAAGATCTAAATATTTCCTACTTTATTAAAAAAAGTGTTTATTAGATATATAGATGGGAAAAAACACTGACAGTAATGCAGAGCAAAAGAATAGATCCACAGTAATGGCAGCCCAAACCAACAACTTCTGTCTTCCCTTTGCTCTTCCCATCCAGGCCCAGATTAACGTAGGGGCTATTGGAGCTGCAGCTCCAGGCCCCTACCTTAATAAAGGCCTAGCCACCCAAAAAAAAGATCACCCATGGAAAGCAATGGGCTGATGGGAAGAGATCTCCCCTGACAGACCCTGCATTCTGCACGCACTGCCTGGGCTGGGTGGCAGGATTAATAATGGGTGCCAGGCGGGCAGTCCTAACTGAAGACTGATATTCAGCTCCTGTAGTGTTGTGTTAGGCCTGAACTGCTGCGCCCTTTCACCTCACCACATGCCGATGCAGGGCTCTTACAGAAGCCTGGGACTTCTGCAACTTTGGGTCTGCATGGCCTTTCACCTCAGAGCGCGTGCCGATGCATGGTCCTTACTGAAGCCTGGTAAATCAAATGCCAGGCTTCCGCAACATTATGCCTGCGTGGCAGTGCCCTTTCCAGTTTGGGTAAGCACAAGCTCCTAGAAATTCAGGAGGGTGGCCAGTAAGTGGAGAGCTAGGAAATTATGTTACTTACGTCAAATCATCATGTCCCTGCCACTCCTAAATCTGCTCCACTGCTGCCATAAAAAGGCCCAAATAACAGAGGTATACCACTCAGGAAACAATCCAGATCAATTCAGGACAGATGCAGGCTCTGGCTGAGCACCACACACGATGCAATAGGAAGAAGGGTCAGCCGCACACTGGAAGATAGATGAATATAGTGTGTATTTATTGATCCATAGGACACACAAAGCACCAGGACATGAATACAGGACTTGTTAACGCGTTTCACATGATCTCGTGCTTAATCAGGAAAAAGCCCACAAAATCCTCAGCACCAGGCCTTTGATGCTCTTAATCCGGCCCTACCCCATCTCTCTGTTGTTCGGTGCAAAGACAAATATCCGGTACTTTAAAGTATGAAGGGCCATGTGACTCATTCCACCATTCTCTGACAATATAGCAGTGCTGCTTAGCATTTGGCCACTCGGGCCCCAAGCACTGTCACATGGAGGTGGGGGGAAAGAGTTGTCAACCCTTTAACCAGTTGCTGCCCGGCCTATAGCCAGATGGCTGCCGGGTGAACAGCTAGTTCCTCCGGGTGGATGCCATATGGCATCCTTCCAGGCATGCGTATTGCGCCTGCCCACAGGGCCGCACAGCAGCATGATCTGTCACCGGCAGTGTACCTCGGACACGGCCGATGACAGATCTGTGTACTGGCCCCTTGCCAGTACCATGTGACCTGTTGTGACCAATCACAGCAGGTCACATGACAGTTGGATACAATGGATGGCTTCCTTTCATGCGATCCATTGTATACAAGTGTGTCTAGCTGTGAATGGTCAATCACAGCCCAGCTGTGTCATGTGATTAGCTGTGGTTAAATCACAGCTAAACACAAAAAAAAACCCCTGAATGAATCAATTTCATTCAGGTAAATGCTTGCTTATAGCAAAGAAATTCTTTGCTATAAGCAAATTGTGTAAAAAAAATAAAAAATACTGACCACTTCCCCAAAGTAGTACAATGTTACTATGGTAACATTATACTTCTTTGGTCATAGTGAAATATGCAAAAAATCTTTAAAAAAAGAGAAACAAATGTAATAAAAAATAATAAAAAATTAAAAAAAAAATTTTTTTAAATTATCAAATTTTTCTTTTTTTGTACTGTCACCAGTCAGTGTCCCTGATCACCGCCATGCCAGTTATATGATGATGCTGTACTGCACTGGTGACAGTATGTAAAAAAAAAATAGTGCAAATCATTTTTTTAATTTCTTCATTTCCGAAAAATTATGGCAAAAAAATTACAACTTCAAAAACCTCGCCATGCCTATTGTGAAATACGTCGGACTGTCTACTTTGCAAAAAGGGGTCATTTGGGGGATATCTGTACTGTTCTGACATTCTTGGACCTCAAGAAATTAGATTGGCTGTCAGTACTTCAGGATTGATCAATATTCAGATCTATCCCATAGTTTGTGAACTCTATAACTTTCCTACAAACTAAATATTACATCCTAATTTGGGTTATTTTCACCAAAGACATGTAGTAGAATACATTTTGGCCTAAAGTTATGAAGAACAATTATTTATTTGCAAACTTTTATAACAGAAACATGTTTTTTTTTTCAAAATTTTTGTTCTTTTTTTGTTAATTTAGTAAAAAATAAAAACCCCAGCTGTGATTAAATACCACCAAAAGAAAGCTCTAGTTGTGTGAAGAAAATGATACAATTTTAGTTTGGGTACAATGTTGTATGAACGCGTAATTGTCATTCAAAGTGTGAGAGCACTGAAACCTGAAAATTGGGCTGGGCAGGAAGGGGGTAAAAGTGCTCTGTATGGAAGAGGTTAAGCACCAACTAGGGTCATCTTGCAGGCACAGTTCCTCTTCTCACTCGAAGGCCAAAGGGTGTTGTAGAAGAAAGGAAGGGCAAGAAAATGGCAAGAAAATGGTGATTTGCCTTCAGCAAAGCTAATCTCATTTCAATATAAAAGTTATAAAATCCAATGTGGCCCGATTAGAAAGGTTGGTTACAAAATTCTGGCATTTGCAGCCATCTTCTCTGAGTTCTATAACCAGCGATAAATGAATCAGAGAACCCGTTTCTGCACTGGGAGATTCAGCCTCATTCAGAAAATAACTGTGTCTGCAACCATAAGGATTTATCTAGCAGGACAGCCAAGTTTAGGTGTTAATTGCCAAATTACAATTGTAGCTTCTGGGCAAACAGACCCAGATTTAGTATCTGTGCAAAATGTCTTTATAAAATAACTGCACTTTTGGATAATTATCTGTTAAATTCTGAACTTCCTGTTATAGTGAAATGTAGAAATGTTAATTGTGCCACAGTAATACCCTAAAGCAGTGATGGCGAACCTATGGCACGCGTGCCAGAGCTGGCACGCAGAGCCATCTCAGTGGGCACGCCAGGAGGAAGAGAGGAAGAGGAAGAGAACGCGCTCTCCTGCGCACCTCCGGGGGCGCGCACCGGGCGATCTCCGTGATTGCTGTGTCCTGCGGACACAGCTGATCACGTGACATGGTAAAAGGCCAATCACAGCGGCCTTTTACCACGTGATCAGCCGTGTCCAATGACACGCTGATCACCGGGAAATGCAAATGCCGGTTCTCGGCTGCACTTTCCTCACGCTGTCAGATCGTGAGGAAAGTACTGCCGAAAACCGTCAGAACAGGGTGTCAGAACAGGGATCGGCACCGATCATCAGGGTCACTGATCATCAGTGCCTTGATGATCGGTGCCCACCTGTGCCACACACAAGTTTCGCCCACTTGTGCCCAGCAATGTGCCCACCTGTGCCCAGAAATGCGCCCACCTATGCCCAGCAGTGCGCCCACCTGTGCCCAGCAATGCACCCACGTGTGCCCAGCAGTGCGCCCACCTGTGCCCAGCAGTGCGCCCACCTATGCCCAGCAGTGCGCCCACCTGTGCCCAGCAATGCACCCACCTGTGCCCAACAGTGCGCCCACCTGTGCCCAGCAATGCACCCACCAGTGCCCACCTGTGCCACCCACCAGTGCCCATCAGTGCAGCCCAGCAGTGCTGCCAGTCAGTGCCACCAGTCAGTGCCCAGCGGTTGTGCCAGTCAGTGCCCAGAAGTGATGTCAGTCAGTGCCACCTATCAGTGCTGTCTATCAGTACCCATTATCAGTGTCGCCTATCAGTGCCACCTATCTGTGACACCTCATTAGTGCTGCCCATCAGTGCCACCCATCAATGATGCCCAGCAGTGCCGCCGGTCAGGGCCTCCAGTTGGTGCTGTCAGTGCCGCTTATCAGTGCCCATCATTTCCTGCATATCAGTGCATCATCAGAGCCTCCTCATCAATGCTCACCAGTGCCGCCTCATCAGTGCTACCTATCTGTGCCGCCTCATCAATGCCCATCAGTGCTGCCTATCAGTGCAGCCTCACCAACGCACATCAAAGAAGAAATATTACCAGTTCGCAAAATTTTAGAATAGAAGCAAAGGAAACCTTTTATGTTTTTAATTTTTTGCTCTTTTTTCATTTATAGTGCAAAAAATAAAACACCCAGTGGTGATTAAATACCACCAAAAAAAGCTCTATTTGTGTGAAAAAATGATAAAAATTGCATATGGTTACAGTGTTGCATGACCGCACAATTGTCTTTGTTAAGTGCAACAGCACTGAAGGCTGAAAATTGTCCTGGGCAGGAAGGGGGTAGAAGTGCCCGGTAGGCAAGTGATTAATTCCAGTGTTGGCACTTTGAAATAAAAAAGTTGGTTTTGTGTTGCAGTTTGGGCACTCGGCTCAAAAAGGTTCGCCATCACTGCCCTAAAGTGTACATTTTGCCCGGCATTCCTGCTGAAATACAGCAGAGCACTTACTGGCATGTGAGAGTACCTAGGTACTCCTATGTCTACTGCCACATAGTTGTGGATTCGCAATGTGAGCACCAAAACACTGCTGCCTCTGACTGCTAGTCTCAGGAGATTTGGAGTCAGATTTGAGGATTCCACTACTATGCTGCTCACTGTTCTTTTCTTTGAGGAAGAAAAGCCCTATGTCTACCACGATGGCTGCCCTCAAAAAGTGGCACCATACAGAATAAAACATAGTAAGTCAGTAATGGGAAAAGATCAGCTGCAGGGAGACAACAGGCAATGCTAGTTACTTGTCCTATGCCCTCTTCCTGACTTTTTTTAGGGTGACACATTTCTCCTTTAACCAGTTCCCTACCATGAAGGATGGCTACAGCCTGGTTGTCTGGTTCTGGGACGACATCCATGGACATCATTCCAGAATATGCCCCCTGCGTGCCCCCCAGCGGCGTGCACCCGGCACCGCAGGTGATCGCTGTGTCCTATGGACACAGCTGATCACGGGGTACGGTAAATTGCCAATCACGGAGGCCTTTTACCACGTGATCAGCTGTGTCCAATGCCACAGCAGATCACCGGGTAAATACAGTTGCTGGTTTTCAGATGCTGGGAAAGGGCCCCAGCAGAGGAGGGCCAACCTACAGGCACCAAAGCTGGGGGTTATTAATGCTTCCATTGACACCAATGCTGAGGGTAATTCTTGAGTCCAGGAAGGAGGAGGGTGCAATTTGGTATCTTTGCCCTGAGCACTGATTGACCTTGTCCCACCTCTAGTTGAAACCATCAATTAGATAGTGTCACCCAGTCTGTGATGCAATGGGACAGTGCACTGACTGCATCATTTACAGGGGCTGGTTTGGGATGCACACTTTTCGCTGTGCAAGGCTAGGGGGGAGGAGCCATACCGATATGCTCAATGTCCTATAGTGGGGCAAACATATATGGGAAAAAAAGTTATGGGGGGGGGGGTGACACCATGTTTTACCAGGTGACACCAACTCTAGTGACTCCACTGTCTACACCCCCTGGGCCAAAGAAGGGAGAGGGTAGTCAAGTGCAATACCCATCCAGTTGTCACTGGGACTACTTCACTGTAGATCCAGGAATCCCTTGCTCAGGGGCACTCTAAAGACAGCAGGGTGGATGACGCGATTTTCATCTGGGGTCTGAAGAGGTTCACCAAAGGGGACTCAGTGCTCCTTACTAGAATGGTTGCTGATTTTTTGTCCATTTTAGCAGAGCAGTTTGTCCTCAAAGTTGTACAGTTTCTTGGCATCCCATATACCCCTGGACCCTATCCAAGTTGTTAACCCCAAATAAAAACCAAAAAACCAAGCTCAAGGACTGTTTTACTGATATTGGATGAGAGTGTAGGAAAATGAGTGTTGCCTGGCTGTGCAGAGCTTAGTGTAGAAGAAAGTGCTACAACAAGAGTTTCTTAAATCATGAATAGCTATTTCTAGTACTTAGCGTGGATGACTGCAAAGCCCAGGATCAAATGACCAACATGTCTAACCTGATTAATTTGAGCCTGTGGGCTGCATGGTATGGATCTTGCAGAAGTCTGGACAGGTACGTATAAGTATCTGGGAGAATGTTGGGGAAGAAGGATTGGGGACTTAAAGTGGTTGTAAATCTCTGCAATGACATACTCCTCTATAGTGTGTACTTGCCTCAACCCAAAGCACCTAATGTGATTTTTATCTGCTGTTTTCATCCTCTGCTATCTGCATGGGTCACTTCTGATGGGTTATGCTGAATCCAAGGGATCCAGCTGGATGCCCCAGTACACAGCCTGTGATTGACATCCACACCTGTGCATGTTTTCCAATGAGATATTATAAGGGGGGGTGTCCATTTCCTCCACTAGTGTCTCAGATTACTCTCAGCTCCCTGCTCTATGCTGTGCAGTGGCATCAGATCCCCACCCCCTGACTTTTGGAGCTTAGAGATGTTGTGTAAAATACATGCTTTAGAAGGCTGTAAAAGAGAAATGGCTGTGGGAGGACTTCTTCATCTGAGGCCGATCACTTCATTGGGTATATGTAAGACTTTACAACCACTTTAAAGTATAACTAGAAAAAAATGTGACACCATCAGTTGTTCTATTCTGAAAGTCCAGAGCTTTAACTGTACAATGTTTGATCTCAAATTGAGTGCTATTAAGGTGTGTTCACATTCATCAGAGGAACAGTCCGTCTAATAGAGGAAAGATTTCAGAAACGACACGACAGTTGTTTTTGTCAGCTCTTTTCTAGAACAGACTGTGTTCTAATTGTCTGAAATCGAAAAAATCTGTCTTAAAACAACTATTAGCATATGGAGTGCTTTACTGAGTACACAGTACAGAACGGAAGACATTTAACATCCGTTGGAAGTGTTAGGTCCCAGACTGCTAAATGGTTGCACGCAGAAGTCCTTAAAAACTCACAACTTGGACAGGCAAAGGAGATGGAGGAAGCTGCCACTGCTGTGGCTCTAAGCTGTCTTCATAAAAGGCCAACTCATACATTCAGAATCAAACATAGTGTCCAGATGATATTCTGGATTTGTCATTATGTATTTTTACTTGAAATCTGATAGGAATAAGAAGGCTACCAGTGATGGCTTGTTTTGAAGGAAATTTGTTACTTTCCCTCGGCAAAGTCACAGGTCCTCTTAAGCTACAACCCCCCCAACAACCCAGCCACTGATTGTTTTGCTGTGCTTCCCTATCAGTCTAGTCCATTATTAGACTAATACCTGGTGCTTTCATGTAGTGCCAGGACAAGGTCATCCAGTGCCCAGGGCAAAAATGCCAAACTGTGCCCCCCCCCCCCACGTTCATGATGTGCCAGCTTTGGGGATCTGCTTACAGGGTGTGCAACAGCACTTCCTCCCAACTCTTTCCTCACTTCTGCCTGTGCTGGGCTGACAGGAGTAGTGGTGCCTCTGTCACTACTCCTGTCAGCCTTGTACAGCAGGAACTCAGCACATGGTGCCCTCATCCCTGCAATAAACTATTGCGCCCAGGGCAGCCTCCCCTTCTGCCCATCCCTTTTCCTGGCCCTGCTTTCAGGGGCATGTGACCTCCAGGATCTAGTGCTCGGATTAATAACCAGGCCGATATGAGGAAAGAGGAGCAAGTCAACAAGTTCATACACGGAGCTTACTTTGGCCTTAGATCCAGAGCGGCAACCCATGAATGGTGCATAGCTAGCCTTTAGGATCCATGAATGGGTAAAGTGACAGATTCTCTTTAAAGGTCCAGGCTCCAGGGCAGTTATTCTGATCCCTTGCATAGTTTCAAAGTTAGTCTGGCTGAAAAAAGACAAAAGTCCATCCAGGTCAAAAGTTATACTCCTATACCCACAGTTGATCCAGAGGAAGGCAAAAAACACAGCAAAGCATGATCCAATTTGCTCCTGCAGGGAAAAAAAATCCTTCCTGATCCCCCAAAAGGCAATCAGATATTCCCTGGATCAACTTTACCTATAAATGTTAGTATCCAGTTATATTCTGTGTATCTAGGAAAGAATCCAGGACTTTTTTAAAACAATCCACTGAGCTGGCCAGATGCAACTCTTGAGGGAGTCTATTCCACATTTTCACAGCTCTCACTGTAAGGAAATTCCGTGAGTGGAGATTAAATTTATTTTCCTCCAGACATAAAGAGTGCCCCCTTGTCCTCTGTGATGACCTCAGGGTGAATAGCTCTACACCAAGTTCATTATATGAACCACTGATGTATTTATACATGTTGATCGTATCGCCCCTTAACCTCCCTAGTGGTCTGATTATGTCCATATTTCTGTGCTCAAAGTGGTAAATTTTTTTGCATGGAAATATGTTTTTTTTTTATTGCAGGCCTGTAATTATTAGGAATAACTCACTGAAATCTGTCCGAACAAGAGTCTAGTAAACATCCCGGGTATGTTAAAATTTGAAACATGAAATCATCAATTATAATTTAATAAATAATCTTAAAAATAATAATATAATAATAATAAATTTAATTCAATAATATAATCAAACCAAAAAAACTGAAATTTGAAATAGAGCGCCAAGTTTGCACACATCACTGAGCAAAGTCACAAAATCGTTTTCAGTGTCTGATGACGAATTTCCCCACGAATCTGCAAGTGGTTCTAATTTACTATCGCTGTTCTCTAGCTGGT